GAATTTTTCTTCTGCGCCAATTTTTTTCTTTTTTGGCTTCTAAATTACCAATATAAGTTTATAATTTTTTATTTTTTTAAAGACCCATGGAGATGTCATTAACTACAGTTTACTTGGTATAATTTCTTATTCCAAAAAAGGCTAGACCGGTGCTTACTACGCACAAGAAGCCCCCCACACTGCCGCTGGTGAGACTCAATCCCTAGTCATTATTCCAAAATTTCACCTCTATGACCAGTTGAGCTACCCATGCGGGCACTTGGTATAATTTCTTAAATTAATGAGTAGTAGACACTTCTTATTTTTTTTTATAACTCGGATTTTTCGACTTTTTCGAACTATATTTTAGACCTCACGAACCTGCTCCTATGCTTATAGGGGAATTTATTTATTAAACTTTTAAGAAATTTCATATTAAAAAAATGTTAAGTATTCTTACAATTGTCACTCACAAATAACTGATCATGATGTGAAAAAAAAGAAAAAATCACATCACAAATATGTAATAACCACCCAAACATGTAATTGTTACATCACATACATACAATTTTCACATTAGCAAGTGACTAGTTGTGACTGATAAATATTGTTGGGGCGTATAACATAATATTTTAGTCAATGAGAGAAGAAGAAAACCATAGATTTAGACAACTACAAAGGGTGCATGTGTTATGGTGAACTAATTGCAATATTTTAAAATTAGATTTGTTTCAAAAAAAAATATTAAAATTAGATTTGAAATATAAATTAATTTTTGTCATTTACTTTCGTTATATTATAGGTAGTGATCGAAAACATTGTAGGGGTGCAATTGCTATCTGACATTGAAAAAGAAGCATGGGGAATCTATAGAAAATATAATGTAAATAATATTGATATTCAGATAATCAAATTGGTTTTTTTTTAAAGCTACTGACTTTATTACATTGTACTGTCAGTACATGCTATCTGAACACAAGGTGTTTGCCAATAATCAAATTATTATTATTATTATTATTATTATTATTATTATTGAATGGTCTGAATATATATTTCTAGTGATTTTATTGGGTTTAAATAATTTATAAATTGACAAGATCGATGATCGTGAATTTTCATATGGACTAAACATGAGTTGCCACTTGCCACTTCATAATTTATGTGAGAATATTTTTACATACAAATACTACGTACTATTATAATTGGTAAATTCAAAGCCCATTAAGTGGTTAAAATAGTAAAACTTAAAAGTTATTTAAACACTTTCAAGTAGTGGTTACGGGTCTTTTTATAAATAAAAAACAAAACTAAAGACTCGTAACTAGAAATTCGTCAACCACCAACCACTCATTTTACTAATAAATGTCCCTAGAGCTTAGTATAGTGGTTTGTCGCCTAACTTAATGTCACGACTAAAGGCAGTAGTGTGCGGTTCGAATCTCACTGGAAACATGAATGATAAAAGGCTCAGGATGATGAAAAGTGTGGATTGGATCCCTTGTGCACACATGAAGACTAAGGTCTTACCGATTAGCTGATTGCATCACTCGCGATTTACCTCTGCAGTGACTCTAGTCCAGGGTGGGTGGGGTCATATGAACTTAGGATTATTCCGACAATGCTAGGACCTAAGTATAAATAAAAATGACACAAATTAATAAAATTGTTAACTTCTTCAATCACTGCCTAATGTGATTGAAAATCTAAAAACCTTATAAAAACCTAAATTCTGGCAAGTTTTTTCAATGATCATGATGATGGAATGTGTAGATTAGATCCATTATGCATGCATGAAGACTAGGTTTAACTGGTAGGTTGCTTGCACCACATGCAATTTATCTTGGAGTGACTTTAGGGACGAGATCCTAGGAGTTTAAGATTAATTTAGAAAAGTTAGAATCACCTAAGTATAAAAAAAAAATAAAAATAAATAAAAATAAAAAAAAAGTAAACATCCAAAATGGTCTCTCGACTATAGCTAAATTCACAAATTGGTCCTCGACTTTTAATTTCAACCAATTAAGTCCTTAACTTTGCAATTTTAACACAATTTGGTCCTTTGTCTATTTGACCGTTTGTTGACTGCGCTTTTTTAGGATATATATGTAATTTCATGGTCCATCGTCGGTTTTTTAAGATTCCATTAGGATTCTAGACCGCACTGTTACATTTGAATCCACTGTCGGCGTTGCACCCATGCCGGAGAGATTATAGCTTTTGATAGATAGATCGCCGAAGTCCCTGGAGTGGCTCTTCAAGAAAGCTGTGACTCCAAGCGATGTAGGCAAGCTGAACCGGCTCGGGATCCCCAAGCAGCAAGCGGAGAAGCACTTCCCCCCTCCGAAACGGCGTTGTCACCTCCAAGAGCGTTCTCTAAGCTGAACTGGCTCGTGATCCCCAAGCAGCAAGCAGAGAAGCACTTCCCCCTCCGAAACAACGATGTCACCTCCAAAAGCGTTCTCTTGAGCTTTGCACGTGAAACTACATATATATCCTCAAAAATCGCGGTCAACAAACGGTCAAATAGATAGAGGACCAAATCGTGTCAAAATTGCAAAGTTAAGGACTTAATTAGTTGAAATTGAAAATCGTGGACCTAAGGTGGTCGAAAATTTTAATTAGAAACCTTATAAAAACTAAATTTTGTACACTTTTTTCGTTGGTCATAAATATTAACCTCATGAGAGACTGAATTGAAATCATTATTATTATGGAATAAGGGTCAAATAGGCCATTCAACTGCACACAATAATGCAATTAGGCCACTGAACCGAAAAAATCAACAATTAGGTCCTAAACTAATCAATTTCAAATAATTTTTTCAATTTCAAGGTTTCCAACAGGTCATCCTCTCAAATTAATTATTTTTTAAAAAATAATATTTAAAAAATAATTATTTTTAATTTTTTTTTAAAAAAAAAAAACAAACAAACAAACTTCGGCCGGAGACACCCGTCTCCTGCTAGTTTCTTCGTCTCCAGCAGTTGTGTGCAGTTGAATGACCTATTTGACCCTTTTTCCTATTATTATTTTAGCTAGGGATCAAAAGTTTCTTTACCGATTATAAATTATAATTGGTGGGCAAACAAGTGAGAGATCGAAAATGAAATAAAATAAAGAATCTTGATAAGTAACTATGGGTTCCGATGGATTGGGCATCTGGGCATGCAAAATGAATATAAAAATGAATATAAATATGGGAAGAGAATCGGGTGGACGGGCAAAAGTTGTTCGTACGAAACAAGATCAACCACCATCATTCCACTATGAACTGAATCATCCATACATGCAAGCAACTAGCAAGTGTACAATTTCAAGAAATAATTTTTTATTTTTTCTAAAGAGAGAGAGAAAAAGAAGAGGGAGAGGAAGACAGTGGTCCCATGTTTGGAGAAGAAACCGGTGGATGACTTTAATTGCCGGGTGGTTTTAATTAGAATTAGTTGGAAGGGAAAGATTGGACCACCTGATCCCCACCCCACCCCCCTCTCTACAGGGCCTAGTTTTGGGAACATTTTTTTTTTGGCATCCAATTCTTCTTTTAATCTCTCTCTCTCTTCTATCTCTCTCACTTCTCCTGTCAGAAAATCTCAAAACTCCCTCCCAACCCCCACTGCCTCAGGGCTCAGGGCAACTTCTCAAAACTCTCACTTCTATTCAATTTTATTTCTGACCAGATTTCTTTAAGCCCCACAAGTCAGAACACACAGAGATAGATCAGATACCCTCCCCCCTCCATCTGTGAAATAAACTCCATTCCTACAACTATACCTTACCTCGACTTCTGGGGGTTTGTACCCTACAATATAATCATACATTATTAAGAACCCCCCCCCCCCCCCCCCCCTCCCTCAACGGTATCTATTCATGACTTCATGTACTATGTAGAATTAATGCTTGAATTCGACTTCAAAAGTAGTTTTAATTTAGTAATCACAAGATTTTAAGATTGACATTTTAGTAAGATTGATTTATTATTGTTATTATTATTATTATTTTGTTTGAATTGGTCAGCTATAAGCAACCTAGATTGATTTACCTTATTGTGGTCTTTTGCTGGCTAAGGTCACAAATTGAAATTTACCCGGTTTGAATTGGTCAGCTATAAGCAACCTAGATTGGTTTACCTCATTGTGATCTTTTGCTAGCTAAGGTGACAAGGTAAAATTTACCCAGTACATCATCATCGCGTAGTGGTGCGAGACGATTAGTTTATTAGTAACCACGTATAATGTTTCAAGTTTGACATACTCCTTATGTTATTGGTCTATTGGGCTTCTTGATTTGAGTCAGCCAGTTATAGACAAACTAAGCTGGTTTACTTCATTGTGGTTCTTTGCCAGCTAAAGTCACAAGGTGAAATTTGTCCAGTGCACACTCTTATACAATGATGTCATGTTTCCCTTACTAAAGAAAAAAAGGGATCAAGGACCATTCTTTATCAAATATAAGAGTTCAGATGACATCCTGAATTGAAGTTAACATAATAGAATAGATTATATGACAGAGGACAAAATTTTGGGAAAATCATGAAAGCTATAATACTAAAATGTGATAGAATTGTTTGTAAAGGATTACATTTAAAATTTTTAGAAAAGTTGAGGACTAAATTTGGTAGAAAATGAGCTTATTATTATATGTACCAAGTAAGAAGTTATGGCATGACATTGTTTTATATTATTATACATACGGACCATGATAACTTTAGGGGGACTGGTCAATTTAATGTAGAAGTATAGGAATATATGAAGATAAAACATAGCATGTGCTAGTACTATAGTACTATGTAATAGGATGAGGAGGACTAAGTTATTATGATCACATATAGCTTGCCACTGTTCTCATCCCTTTAAGATTAGTGTTTGTAATGCATGAACTTGAGGTTTTATGCTACTATTATACATAGGTTGAAGTGTTTGTGCATGAATAATTTGGGTAATTAACGCTAATTAAATATTACCTTAGCTTGTGCATAAGTTTTTAAAAATTTGATTTTTTTTTTTGAGTTACAAGGAGTCTAGCAACTACTAATCTAAGGCACTGGATAAATTCGTTCCGTATTGTAATCCTAGTCAGTAATTGGCAAAGGACCACAATGAGGTAATCAAACCTAGCTAGGTTGTCCTGGCTGATCGGTTCAAAGAAGATCAATAAATTGTTAGTGTTATGAATCAAATTTGTAATTTTATAGTTAGCAACTCTACTGTCTGGAAAATTTAGGTGGGTTGTTCCAAATTTTTATTTTTAAGATTAAAAAATTAGATGATTATAATAATTAGTGTAATTTTTTTAATTGGATGGGGCCTGTAATAATTGGTAGGGTGGAGGATTTGATTTTCCTTCCAAGAAGTCTTTTTTGTACATATTTAGCATTGACCCACCAGAGAGCTCACACAATCACACCCAGAGAGAGAGAGAGAGAAAGAGAGAGAGAGAGAGTATATGAGATGAAGAACATGGCTTGGAGTTAGAGGTCATCATCACATCACCCTCTCCTACCCTTCACAGCTCTCTCTTCTTCATTCTTCTTCTTCTTCTTCTTCCACACACAACATCCAAACATCCTCTGATCTTCTGTTTCTGTGTTAGTTGCAAACTGTCTGTGTGTCTTCCTTCCTTCCTGGGTTAGCTTTCATGGGACTCCATTTCTTGTTGGGCTATTAACAGAAGATCAAGTTTCAGAAAGAAAGAAGCGACAAATAAACATGGTGGCTGCAGTCTTGAAAACGAGTTTGGGTAGACACCCAAGTGGATAAAGATTGAATCTTTTTGTCTGGAAAAGGTAACATTGATTCTTGATTGATGTTTTCTTCCTTTCCTGTGAAGGTTTTTTCTAGTATTATTGTTTTTAGTTTACCGGTTTTCCGTTTTTGGGTTTGTATTAATTAGGAGCCGATTCTATACTAGCTTGCATATATTTAGCAAGAAAAAAGCATCTATGTTATGTATGGCTGGGCAAGGCGAAGAGAAAACGAGGTCGGCTATGGTGACAACAACCGGATATTGGTACGCTGATGCTCCTACGAATAATCCTCAGATTCATCAAATACACCAAACCTTTGACCCCAATCCGGAGATCTATAATTTAACCACTGGGATGGAGATGATAGGGTGGAAGAGTTTCTTCAACAAAGGCGCCGGCGCCGGCGCCGGAGGACCGGGGCCGTCGTCTTCCAAGATTGGTCTTTCCGGCGAGCCATCCACGAGCCATGAGTTCTACCATCATCAAGATTTCATCAGTACTACCAGCGAGACCATGATGGGCGGCGCTGCGGCGGCGGCGCCGCCGGGTGGCGGCGGGGCGTGGGTGGAGGATGATCCATCTCTAAGATGCGTGTTCCCTTGCGAGGGAAACGAGAGGCCAAGCCAGGGGCTTTCGCTCTCTCTCAGCTCCTCTAATCCTTCTGCGATTGGGTTACAGTCCTTTGAGCTGAGACACCATGAGAATGATCTGAGAGCTTCCATGATGCATGATGGAGGGTTCCTGGGAAAAGCCGCAGCTGCGAATCTGAACCACCACCCCTCAGAAACTGGGTATTTCCAGATCAGAAACTCAAAGTATTTGGGGCCTGCCCAGGACCTCTTAAATGAGTTCTGTTGCCTGGGAACTTCTGCAGATACCAATCATCATCATTCTGCAAAAATGAAGCTCCAGAAGACCAGTCAATGGCAGGATAATGAGAGCGCTTCTTCTTCCAAAAACCCCTCTTTGGCTTCCCTTGACCTCCTTGAATTGCAGAAGAGAAAAACCAAGCTCCTTCAAATGCTTGAAGAGGTATACATATACATATACATATATATACATATAAGTTTAAAGCCCAGGACACCATTTTTGAAAACCCTTTTTGTTCTGAAATTCACTTTTTTTTTTTTTCCTCCCTTTTTACTGTACCTAACTGCTCCAAGGAAAAGATTGGTGCTTTGGCATATTCAGGACCCATTATATTATCAACATTAAAGACTTATAAGCTGATTAGTTGGAATAATATATGAATATATTCAATTCACTTCTCAAAACGAGTAACGTTTATCATGGCGGAAGTTGAAATGGAGAGCTTTTAAGTGTGTTATATATGGTTGATGATTATTGGGTAACTGTGAGACTTGAAATCTTGAGCTAATTAAGCCACCAATATAATGCACTTTCGGTTATATTAATGCTCACATGCTGACAAATTGATACTTCACAATTATTAGCACTAATACTAGCAGTTAGTTGTGGTAATTATTTTTCAAAGATTAACGTTGTTTTCCACGATTTCTTGTACAGGTTGACAGGAGATACAAGCACTACTGTGATCAAATGAAGGCGGTGGTCTCCTCCTTCGAGGCGGTGGCCGGAAACGGCGCGGCCACCGTGTACTCCGCCTTGGCTTCCAAGGCGATGTCGAGGCATTTTAGATGCCTGAAAGATGGGATTGTGGCCCAGATTAAAGCCATCAAGAAGGCCACCAGCGAGAAAGACACGGCGGCGCCCGGCTCCACCAAGGGAGAAACGCCGCGGCTTAGGGTCCTGGATCAAGCCCTCCGGCAACAAAGGGCTTTCCAGCAGATGACCATGATGGAAAGCCACCCATGGCGCCCCCAACGCGGCCTACCGGAGCGATCCGTCTCCGTTCTCCGGGCTTGGCTCTTCGAGCACTTTCTCCACCCGTAAATTCTCTAAACCCTAATCAAATTAGTCAGATTATACTGTCTCGAATAGTGACTGCAGATTTTTCTAATCAGTTAAAAAACTTAAACTGAGTCGAGTTAAATTATTCGCATAGTAATCATAAATTTTTTCTTAAAATCTAGTAAGTACAATATGTTGGCATCAATCGTTTTTCAAGAATATAACCAAACGTTTGAGATTCCAATTATTCATCACTGTCTGTCTTGTCGTTTCTTTCTTCCTGTTAGCTGCGCTAGCTAGCCATCAGATTTTTTGTTGGTTGGTTTGTGTGGTTTTGGTTTTCATTTTCTGGCTTCTTCTTCCAGCTCCATAGGTCCCATGCACCCAACAGACACACAGGAAATGCATGTAGTACTAGAAAGTTATTAGCCACAGCAAAATCATTAATTAACTTTCAAGGTGAGGTACTTTTGTTTTTAATGGGAAACCTTTTTGCAGGTACCCCAGTGATGTGGATAAACATATTTTAGCTCGCCAAACTGGTCTTTCAAGAAGCCAGGCATGTCCCTTTCTCCTCCCCTTATTATTATTATATACTTTTCGAAAATAATTACAATGTAATATCTGCTCTATATTTTCTCAATCTTTTCTATGACTATGTATATATCTATTTGGAATAGTAACAGAAGTGTCATCACATTACATAATAATTGGCAATTATTATTTGATACATTAGATTTTCAGCTTAAATAGACTAATTCAAAGTCTCGGAATAATTGTCTAAGAGTAGCTGGAAGAAGTAAATTATGAGTCACCCAATCAGCCTCCAAGTTAATCCCTATAGTTAACATAATTCGATCTGTGCACAAGGGATTCATCTTCACATTTTCGTCATATCACAGATTATTTTAATCTATAGTTTATAATATCAATGGTGTAATCTGCTTAGGGCTTTGTTTTCTAGTATGTGTCGTGGGTGATTAACTATTATTAATATAATAATAATATGTGCATGGGTTTGTACATGTAGGTGTCTAATTGGTTCATCAATGCAAGGGTGAGGCTATGGAAGCCTATGGTGGAGGAGATGTATGTGGAAGAAACAAAGGAACAAGAGAATCTTCTTGCCACGTCGGACGACAACGGGGAAGCCGCCGCCCGGAATCTGCAGAATCCTAGGAACGACACGGAGGATCAGAAGCCAAACCTCGTACGCATAGACTCCGAGTGCATCTCCTCCATCATCAACAACCACCCCGCCGCCGACGATAATAAGAACAACGCCGGCGAGGATGATCACCACCACCACCACCTTCATCAACAGGCGGCGGCGCTTCAAATCCTCGGGGCCAGAGGCGGCGGCGGGGACCACCAATTTGGGCCGGTGGGGATGGACTTCTCGTCCTACAACCACAACTCCGCCGGAGCCGCCTTCAGCTACGCCGCAGTGGGTGGCAGCGGAGGAAAAAACGGCGGCGGCGGCGGTGGAAGCGTGTCGTTGACGCTGGGACTGCAACAGCAAGGGGGAAGCGGAGGAATGGGTTTGGCGGCGGCGGCGGCGTTCTCGTCGGCGGCCTCTCAGAGTTCATCGTCTCTCTTCTACCCTAGAGACCAAATGGAAGATTGCCAAACAGTCCCTTATTCACTTCTGGACAGTGAAGGTCAGAACTTGCCATATAGGAACTTGATGGGTGCACAGTTGCTTCATGATTTGGCCGGTTAGAGTATCAACAAATTAAACAACTTCAAAACCTAAAACTAGGGTCCAAAAATTCATTAAAGAATTGAAGTTGATATTATGCTGGTCTGCCTTCCTATATATCATCTTTGTTATAATTTATAACCTACTTCTTTAATTATATATTACTATATGAATGGGGTATAATACTGATTAAAGAAAATGGGGATTTACTACATATATACATAATACATTGGGGTTAGATGTATGTATACAATTTAATATATATTTGAATTGCTTCCACGGCTGGTAATTTTGAATGCTTTAATTTAATATTGTCATTATCCATCAAGAAACCCATGATTATTATTGTATGAATTGTGAAATGAAATTTTGAATTACCTGCAGTTCTTGCTAAAATATACAGTTCTCTTTTTCATTGTATGTTCAAGGATCGTCAATAATAAAAACATCATAGTGAGAGTACTAGCAAGAATCAACCCATCTTTTAGTACGAAAATTATGCATCACTTTTTTTAGTGACAAGAGAGAGCTGCATGCTTGCATTCAATATTTGAGGATATGCGCTGAGTAAACCTATAACTATAGCCACCAAACCAACAGTCTGACCAACTTGACTGAAGTTGTCCCCAAATTCTTCCATTTTCAACTGTATTGAGTAGAGATCGAGTCACCATCTATCACTGCTCATAGCGTATCATCTATCCAATACATTTAGATATATAAGTCATGTTTGGTAAATGACTGTTAGCTGATTGAGTTAATTAGAGGGTATAACTAGTTGATAACATTAACTGATTGTAAAAAGGTGTTTGGTAAATTAGCTATTAGCTGATAGCTGTTTGGTATAATTTCTTTACTCAAAAAGCTAATTGAAAAAGTTGCTTTGAGTAGCTTTTTGAATTTTAGCATTTTGGAGTATAAAATGCTAATTAACCAAACACTTATGATTTTTAAACCAAGTTAAACAACTAATAGTGGTCAAATAAGTCAAAATTGGTTTATAGGCTAACTATTTTACCAAACAGGGCCATAATATATTATGCTCCCTCTTTCTCATTTTATTATACTCCATCTTTCTCACTTTACACGTCATATTTACTATTTATTAGTCAAATCAATTCTTTATTCTTTGCTTATTTATATGATACTACAAAGAAAAATGCACATTGACAACACTAGAAAGACAACAGTTTTTAACAAAAGTGTTGTCTTTTGTATAAAAGATAACAGTTTGGCCTAAAATCGTTGTCTTTGACGAAACACTTTTGTCAAAGACAACGGTTTTTACTTGACCGTTGTTATAAGTGTGTTGTCTTTGTGCATTTTGTGAAAAGACAACATCACAAAGATGACGATTTTAAAAAACCGTCGTCTTTGCGCATTATTTTTTTTTTTAAAGACAACGGTTTTATTTAACCGTTGTCGTTTGTGTGTTGTCTTTAAGAACACTTGATACACAACACTACAAAGACAACCGTTGTCGTTGCATGCTATTTATTTTTTTAAGATAATGATTTTATTGTTCCATTGTCTTTAATTTGTATGTTGTCTTTAAGCGTACTTGGCTAGTGGCTACACAATACTACAAATTATCAATTCATGGCACCCAACAGTTATAAATCATGTCATGAGGAATTTTGAAGCAAGGGAAACAAAGCATTTTTCATATATATATATATATATATATATATATATATATATATATATATATAGAAAAACGCTCATATGTGGTCATGTCATTAGGTGTGGTCGTGTGGTTGTATTTGTGTCGTTGAATCAGTTTAATCTAAAGGCAGTGGTAATTCTGAGAATTTTCGCGCGTTTTAGTAAGTGGGGGTGTTATGGTAATTACAGTGACCATTTATAGCGGGCGTGTTCCAAAATACACCAATAGTGTTGACAACATACACCAATAGTGCAATAAAACACACCACAGTGAAACACACCAATGGTGTATTCCCGTGTTATGCTAATTACAGTGGCCATTTATAGCGATCGGGTTCCAGAATACACCAACAGTGTTGACAACATGCACCAATAGTGTAATAAAACACACAACAATGTGATTTTCCCTATTCCGGTGTTTTATGACAAGTTTACCCTTATAGTTCGCTGGGTAGTAGAATATGCGCGAAAATACTAGAAAAAATCTTGATTAATATGATTCATTAGATCTATCTAATCTAATGGTCTATAATTGACCATATGACCACACCTAACAACATGGCCACATGTGATCACTCCTCTATATATATATATATATATATATATATATATATATATATATATATATATATATATATATATATATATATATATATATATATATATATATATATATATATTCTAAAAAAATTATTTTATATGGTTTAAATTATTTGATAGCACAGCTTAAGAAGCATGAATGATTTTGTGGTGGTGATGTAGATGCGAAGATCCAAAGATGTTTAGTAGGGGCACACCAAGATTTTTATTGTTGTATTGGCATAAAGACAATTGAGTTAAGGTAAAATCTGTTTGGGCGGCACTCAATTTCAATGCTTGGACTTTTTCATGAAACTAAAATATCACGATTATCACATGCACAATAATATAAATTGTGGTCCTTAAATGATTCTCTCCCAAAAAATAATAAAAACATCTTATCAATCTCTTCATGCCCCAAACAACTGTTCATTGCTAGCTAGCTAGCTACCACTTTCGACCATCAAAGCAAAAGTGATCTACCTAAAAGTTAATTGAGATAGAGATACCTAAATTATCTTTTTTATTATTTGTTTTGGTGATAATGTTATGTGTTTTGGTAATACGTGAATAACTAACGAATATGAATGATAATAATGTTTGTTATAAATTTCATAAACTTTTTCTAATATAATAGGGAAAATGAGATGAAATAAATACTGATTCTTTAAAAAAAAAAAAAAAAAAAAAACTTGCATGGAATTTCGGTTAAAATAAAATAAAAATAATTAAAAAATTTACAAACTCTATGATTTATTTTCTTATCTTATAATACAAAATAAAAATAAAAATACAATAAAACTCAATGATGGTAAGATTATAGTTGTCAAAACAGGTTAGCTCACCAATTGCCTCGTCTCGACCAACAATTCTATATAATTAATACATTATATTGTAAATGATTTGTACTACTCAGTAAGTTAGTAGTATATATATTAATATTAATGTGTGTTCAACAATTTTAAACTTTGGATAAATTTGTGTAGATTATCTACTTATTTAAACTTATTAGTTATTTATGACTAGATTTAACAAATTATATTAATATTTGCTTAAACTATCTAGACTATTTTACTATAAAACTATTAGCTTTTAAAATTAATTTGTAATTAAAATTAATTTTATAGTATTTGGGGGGTGGCCTGCTATACTATGGTTTCTCTTTTGTATATTCACAAATCTTTTTCAATTTTGTCCTTCTTTCACTTTTTTTTTTAAAAAAAATTTCCTCTTAAGTTATTAAAGTTATTAAATAACATTGTTAAATATAATAATAACATGTATGCTCTACATATTTTATTGTACACTTACAAATTCATTTTATTTTTATTTATACATATGTATTAATAATTTTTATCCTTTTACAACATTTTTAATAAAAAAAAACTATAGAATTATATATACTTTGATTATATAATTTCACTAATATTTTTGTTTATTTATTATTTTTTTTGGTCACGTATTGCGCGTATAATCACATAAAAGACAAAGAAAACCTCAACCAAGTCTTAGATTACCTTGCCGGTCCCGACTACTAATATTGATGGCACAAAAAAGCACGCCAACTGTGTCTTTGGAAAACTTCAACAATTTTAGTAAGAGGAAAACTATGTTGCATGCTTGGCTCAAGATAAGAAATATTACACATAGGTGAAATGTCATATTCCACAATTTTGGCAACTACCAATTTTGTTCTTTTATATATATAGGTCTAGAATCATGTACGAATGACTTCCCAGGTAAAAAATGTGCACAAATTTCAGCCATTGAATTCACCTAGATCTGATGTTTTGATCTTTAAAAAAAATTTCCTTTCAAATTAATAAAAATTGTGCACTTGAAAGCTCAAAATCATGCACATGAAGATACAAAAATGTGCAATTGAAGGCAAAATTTCTGCACTCGAAGGTAAATAGATATGCAATTGATGCAATTTATGGTACCAAAAGGGGAAGTTATTCAACTTAAGTGTTATTAAAGCAATTACCATACAAATCGTTTGTAAATCTTACAAATTTCATTAGAAATTTAATTATATGTTATTGAAAAAAATGTGAAAGATATAACAAATACTGGCTCAGAATTGTGCAATTGAAGGTTAAAAAAAAAAATGCACTTGAAGGCTACAAAATGTGCACTTGAAGGCTAAAAACATGCACTAGAAGAAGAAAAAAAAATGGTTCATTGGATTGCTAAGTATTTTTTTTTTTTAAATTTTTACACAATAGTAAGATACACCTACACTTATAGACATGAAATTGAGCACTTGAAGGCATAAAGACGATCACTAGAAGGCAAGGGAGAAAAAAAGACACTAAAAGTGAAAATTTATAGGAAATTAATTGTACACTCTTAGAAAGGAAAACATGCACTTGAAGGCTAAAAATATGCACGAGAAAGAAAAAAAAATGGTTCAATGGAATGCTTAAGTAATTTTTTTTTTTTTACACAATAGTAAGACGCACATGCACTTATAGGCATGAAATTGAGCACTTATAGGCATGAAATTGAGCACTTGAAGGCATAAAGAGGATCACTAGAAGGCAAGGATAGAAAAAGACACTAAAAGGGAAAATTTGAAGAAAATTAATGGTGCACTCTTAGAAACGAAAACATGCACTTGAAGGCTACAAAATGTGTACTTGAACTCCAAATTTTTGCACTTAAAGGAGAAACTATATACTGAAATAAAACAGATGCACTCGAAGAAGAGAAATATGCACTTGAAGAAGGAAACATGTGCACTCGAAGAAGAAAAATGTGCACTCAGATACAAAGACAATCTGACTTACTCAAAATTACAATAATGCCACCGCGCGTTTTTTAATTAATCTTCAATCTCGGCTGTTGATTTGGACTATATTTGTAGAAGCAACCATGGAACAAGAGGAACCACAAGCAACACTTGCAAGCTTCCCAACACCAACTCTACACAGATTTAAGGGTTAGACAACAAAGAATGCTAAAAAGGCAAATCCAGATGGAGGCGAGACAAATTGGAGAACTCCGGGAGCAACTTAGTAGAATTCATCCACATCCACCCCCGGAGTGGCGTTGAGAGGGCC